TACATAGTGATGAGACGTAGAAGCTACAAAAACTGGTAGCAAAGTACTGGACTCAAATCTGTTAGCTATTTCATTTCACCTCAATACATATCATAATGGCTAAACCCATTAAAAGTTCCTCAACAGTTTATTTTTCAACTCAAAATCACCCTCTCCAATTAGCTTTTCACCCAGCAGGGGAAAACGCACAAAGAAATATATTTCATCCCTGATGAATGAAATGGCAAAATCATGTCTTGGTGAGGGTGGCTTTGAACAGAAAATGAACAGTAGAGAAAAGTATTAAGCAACCTTTCTAAACCTTTCCTTCCCCGCTTGCAATTTAATTATTCCGCACACAAAGACAGAAGAAGACAGATCACTGAAGCCATGTTTGCTTTGTTTCAGGAAGAGTGTTGCAGAAACTTTTGCCTGGTTTCTTCAGCTATTTATAAGCAATGCAATTTCATATAATAGAATAGAAGGAATTCAACATAATTTAGCTTGACATCCACATCGTGAGCACGAATGGGTGATATTTTGTTAGGTATATGACTCTCTCCTCCACCTGCATCTCCCAAATCTAGCTATAGTGCTAACAGAGTTGAAGACTAGCATTTGTCTTCACATGAACTTTATAAACAGCACTATAAACTTGCATATTTAGACATTCAAATTCTTTTCATCTGAATTGAATATGTAAAGGTAACACACGCATGCATAAACTAGCATACTTTGGAAGAATTTATGTCAGTTTTTACACAGCTGCATTACTGGAGAAAAATGATTCAGAAAAGGATTTTAAACAACAAATATATGCCATAGGCCTTGATACATTTCACTAATCCTGCTTCTCTAACTTCAGCAATAAATAAGTTGATTATTTTGCAAGAATGGCTTTTCCTAGTAATATTCTCCCTGCTAGTACAAGTCTCACCCGCTTTTGAAAAAAAAAGAAACCCTGCATTTTAGGATGTTGAGAAAGGCTCGTAGAGAGGGAGAGAGAGACCAATTCCTCTTGCATTAAAGGTCTTAAAATCTTCAGAGTGAGAAAAATGCATTAAAAAGTTATCCAAGCAGAAATGATCATTCTGTAATTAACAGGTAGCAAAGCAAGGAATATGTTACCAAATCTTGCCTCAATTACTAAATAGGATTAAGCTCAAAGTAAACTCGTATTGTATCTATAAAATTAATATGAACATTACATCCTCAATGCAAATCCTACATTTCTTAAAGGTGTTTTTTAATTTAAAAAATCAACATGTCCTATATAAAACAACCACCAACTCAGTAACAGACATTTCTTCAACAGACAAGTTAAGTACAAAATCTCAGAACATGCTTAGGGAACTAATCCAAAAGAGACTAATAAAAAGCTTCAACAACACATCTCAGACTGCTAAAAAGAAGCTGGCCACGGAAGGGAATAGACAGGGAACATCATGATATGGCCAGAACATGTTAAGTGTTCTCTGTATTGACTCAGTTCCCATAGTTATCTGAACAACTTCAACTGATGCAATACCAAAACACAATGTTACTAGAAATGTCAGGCATGGTTCTCTATTAATGCTCACAATACAATTCTTCACTAATTTTCTTCTTAAAGGATGCAAGGGATAATTTTAACCTTTTTATGTTTCTGCTGCAAGAAAATAATAAAAAATGGCATAGTTTGTGAAATCAATGTGCATTTTGGGATTTATTATGCACAAAAGTCACACCTGGTTGTTTTGCACAGGAAATAGCATTCTGTGAACAGAAAACAGAAAAAAAATGTTTCTTGTGCAGAAAATGTTATCTTAAGTGCAAAGCAACCATATGTAAATTTTATTTGAAATACATCCCACCTACAATATTTTTTGCAAACAAACAGGTTTTTCTAGGAAATGCTGTTTCCTGCATAGAAAATTTACCATGTGTAAATATTCCTCAGAATAAATTCTGAACTGCAAAGATTCTTGTCAATCACAATCACCAAGTATTCCGATACTCAAAAAACATTATTTTCACCAATTTCTCAAACATATTCAAGCATTCTTTCAATTCCTAGTCAATTGTAATTTCCCAAATGAGAACATCTTCAAATTTTACATGCCTTTCTACCAAGCACTTTTACAGAGACAAAAGAAATAAAGAACTCACTTCCTACAATGATTTATTTTAGGCTTATGCAGAATTCGTAATTTCACATTCTGCACATCCTCACACAGGGTAGTACTGGTGGAGTTGTGAAAACTGGGAATATTTGTAAGCAAGGATCAACTAAGAGTTCACTTTCTTGCACCTATCTCTAGACCAGGATTGCAAACTTGTGTCTTTGTAGATATTGTTGAACCCTAATTCCCACCCTACTCAAATTATGCTTCAGGATTATCAGTCCTGATATGTTAATATTTAGAGAGCTACAGGCTTCCAGCACCATCAAAAATCTTGGAACCAATATTAGAAAGCAGCAAATGGATGTGTCTATTTAATCCTCCTTACTTTCCTCAATATTTCAGATCAATCTGGTTGGGACAGAGATCCTAATTCGAATACCTTGATTCTTCTTTAAAGCATCTAAAACATCCTTTGAACTGTAGCAGTCTTACTGGGGAAGAGGTTAGCCTTTGTTCTATTTTTGCAGTCTAGAAATGTTCCCAGTTGTTCTTTGACCCTTAAAAATATACATTTTCCTAATGAAATAAGTAAGAAGGAGAGGCATGTAGCTAAACAACTTGAGAATGTGTAGATGATAAGCTGGAACTCCCACAAGCCCTCGCCATTGGCCATGCCATTTAGGAGCTGAGAAGAGATGCAATTTAACATAAGCTGGGAGAATAGTGCAATGCCCACTTCTAGTCTGCAGGGAAGGAATATTTAGGATCTCTCCAACTGTGAATGTACATTAACTGTAAGAATAATCCTATAGAACCACAGTGGTTTTGAAAGTGATCACCAAAATGCTGACAATGCACAAAAAGAGGAAGGAAAGAAACATTTGGGCTTTCATAACTCTTATTGCTTCCCAGCAGCAATAAATGGAAATGAGGCTGAAAGCTACAGTCTAGACCTCTAAGGGAAAAACAACCTTGGCAGCCCAGCATATCAACTGTTCAAACTGGAAATTGGGAAACCTTCTGAACAGAAAATAACAGACTGCTGGCATTATCAACAAACTCTCTAATTAAGGTAGGGGTTGTGTTTGGGAGTGTGTGGCCCTCCAGGTGCTAATGGGTTACAACTCCTAGAAGAAGCAGTTATGAAAGATAGAGAGAGCAAAAAAAAAATAGCATGTTCCAGAAAGATACATACACAGATGACATAAAGCATGAGCTGGCCGTTTTTTTTATACTAATATCAAAAACTACAGATGTAACCATCTCTTACACATTACAGAATTTGCAATGCAGACCTAACCCTGGGATCCTACAAAGGAGAGAAAGATGCAGACAGATATAACCTTTTAAGTACAGTGTAAGTATTACATGGATGAGCACCTTCCAAAAGTACATGGGGCTACAGAAGCAGAGCAGTTAACGCCGCTAGCTACAGTAAAGGCTGCTCACCAGAGGGTCAACAGTTCGTGAATCAGGGTGAACTCACGACTGTCAATCCTAGCTTCTGCCTACCTAACAGTTCGAAAGCATGCAATGCAAATAGATCAATAGGAAAGTAAATAGGTGCCCCATGCAGACATGCTGGCAAAAAGATTGGAAAGGTCTATGCATAGCAGGCTCCACTGGCATGGAAAATGGAACAAAAGGACCTCCCCATGGCCAGCAGTTGAGCATTGCCTCCAGATGCCGGAGATGGAAAAGGGGAGGGCCTTTACCTTATCTGTGTACTGTATGTCATTGTTTGTGTGAAATTGTATTGAATGATTGCCTTATACTGTGCACTGCAATCTGCTCTGAGTCTCTCTGGAAGATAAAGTAGAATATAAAGTGTATGATAAAGTGTATAGAGGGGAGTTTTCTGCTCATGGGACCTGTGTAAGTATTAAAAATGTCAAGAAAGGGGAAAAGAAAGAAAACAAAAACAATCCATTTTTTTTTAAAAAATATGCATATCCTCAAGAGCAAAGAGTTCAAAAGTAAATTCATCATTTTTCTTATGAGAAAAGGTCTAGGAAGATCAAAATTCACAGAACAAATGGAGGAACGGCAATTTCTTCTCTAATGCAGTGATCCTTTGATGTCTGCTGGGAATAGCTTCCAGGATACCTCCCTGTCCTGTGGATACCAAAACCCATGGAACAGGCCCGTAGCCAGGATTTTGATTCGGGGGGGGGGGGCTGAGTTTTGGGGGGGGGGGCTGAGTCTGAGTGAAAGAGGGTCTACCTAGCAAACCTTTTGTATTGTTACCCCAATACCCCCATGCATATGGGATATATTGAGCATGGTGATCAGATCATGATATGAATAAACATAACAGTTTAAATAATGTACCAGTAAGGCCTTCTCGCGGACCACCATCAGAATTCCATGGCAGGCTACTTGCCTGCCATGGAAGTTCAACTCCCATTATATACAGTAGCATAGTAAAATAGTGTCTCTTATATAAAATGGCATACCTATTCTACATACTTTCAGGGCAGCAAATTTATATCTCAGCTATTACATTTCACCTAGACAATTACATCTGTCTTTACCCTATATAGCAAAAGTATTAATTTTGACATAATGATATTTCAATACTCAAAAGTATGTCAACTATTGGGGAGGATGGAGTTGTTCCAGAGCATTCTGAATGCCTCCTCAAGTTCACACAGTGTGTCCTTTCCTCCAGGCTTCCCAACTTCCACAAGATGTTATAATTTCTACAGTTTTTCCTGCATTCTTCTCCTAGACTTCATTCTCATTTGGAAAGGGTTCTTTTTTTGTAATAAAGCATAGTTTCGGTCCAATCTATTTAGAGAATAAGCCTTTGGCATGCCACATATTTCTTTCAACACATCTCCTTCTTTACCAGATTTGTCATTTCAAGCTAAAGTTTCTTTTACTTTAGAAAAAAAATTAAGATCAGGTGCTTACCTTGAGGGAAATAGTTTGGTTGCACTAAATAGAGAAAAGCATGGACAATTCGGAACAAAATTCCTATTGCTCCAGGTTCGTGGTATGCGCTGGTATCATATGTCTTTGAGGGAACAAACCCAAAATCCAGAGCATCAGAAGGCGGTTGGTGTAAAGGCTGCACTTCAGAAATTGTTCTCCCACAGAGCAACAAAAGAAATAATAAAGAGAGCTCCCCTGCCATGTCTGAGAAAACTGTGTAAAATGAGGTAGATGGATAGGGGAATAAAATCTTCAACACATATTACTTCACAGCAGGAAACTCTAGTAAGTGAAAGAGGAAAATCTTCTCAGTCCTTTGCTCAATGCAGAATGTGTGCTCACTTCTCAATGCTTTGTTTGGCAGCACCTCATCGGATTCAGTTAGCGCTCCATTTCTAGCAAAAAAGAAGAATGAAAACAGCTATGTAATAAGTGTCATCTCACGCCATGAAAGAACAATGATGTGAAATGTATGCAACCTCTAGTGAAATTTCTACACATACTACCCTATTAGAAAGCAAGGCAGACAAAGCTGATCTGTGCATCACAAGAAGAAACTGTTAAAAAGGGAAGAGAAAATTGCATACAAATCTCTCATGTAACACTAAGTGTTTCAGGACAAAAAGAACAGAAATGAACCAAAATTATGAGAAACTTTTAGCCATTGTGAGAAAATTTCAACAGATGAAAACTACCATTTGTTGCTCAGTCTTTCAGTAGACACAGAAACAGGGCCACAGATGGCAGCAGGCAGAAAGACCCCAGAGCAGACATTCTGACCTGTCAAGGAGCCACTAACCATAGGAAACAGCTTTCCATGTTCTGTAAACTCTTTCCAGATTAATTCATTTATGTGCAAATTAATAAAAGAAATTCTAAGTCATGCCTTTGTTAATTATATTATTATGGGAGACTGGAATGCGGCCATCCCCCTTCAATAGTTTGGTAATTAGTGATAAACCTATTAAATCTGATCAAGGTATGCTACTGAAATAGTCTTGTAAATAGTCTGAGATTAACAGAAGTTTGGAGAATTGAATATGGGGATGACACATATTCTTCCTGGATATAAACAACTCACTTTCCAAAATCATTTTTTTTGTTTCTAAATATTGGGACCATGGATTCCAAAATTTGAGATTTCATCCAAATCACTCTCAAACTACAAACCTATACTTTTCAAGGTAAGGCTTTATAATTTAAGCATATAATTTAAAAATATAGCACATAGATACACTTTACACTGCACATCTACCTGGCATCACTTTCACAAATAATTTCAAATTTTAAAGGAAAAGTGGCATTGCTTCCATAAACTACGTTTTTTTCCTAAATTATCTTCATTTCTTTTAAACATGAAAGCTGATATAACATCTGACTTCAGTCATGCACATCCAACGGCTCCTAAAAATAGCTCAATCAACAAGAATACAGAAGGTATACGAATGAGAACTGGGTGAGTAGAGCTCTCTATTTGGAGACCTGTAAAAGTTTCACAGGTTGGCTGAGTATTTGGGGAATGGGACTGAATTCCTTCTTTTTCCACTCCCTTCCTATTTCACTCTTGAGTGGCAGTCTTATTCTGTCTGAACGACTATCACCGTTTCCCGCCAAACTATTGAAAAAGTCCTGAACAGCTTTCCTTCAATGATTAACCACCTGATATTGAGACATAATGGTAAAAACTTTATAAATTTCCTATTCCAATAACTCCAAGTCCAGTTGAGAAGGTTCATATTACGAAGTAGCCATTCTGATATTATCATAGTTAAGTTACCAACTCTCAAAACAGAAGTGTTTAAGAGCTAGAAGAGAAAGCTCCATGCCTAAAGGTATGCGAGACAGTCACAGCCCAGAAAGCTTTTATATTGAATTTAATCTTCATTACGTATGAAAAAAATCACCCAAAACAATGAGTACCTAACTTTAAAACAAATAACAGTTTAGAAGCAATGGGTTCAAATTACAGGAAAAGAGATTCCACCTGAACATTAGGAAGAACTACCTGACTATAAGAGATGTTCAGCAGTAGAGCTCTCTGCCTTTGATTGTGGTAGAAACTCCTTCCTTGGAAGCTTTTAAACTGAGGCTGGATGGCCATCTATCAAGGGTGCTTTGGTTGTGTGTTTCCTGAACTGCAGCGGATTGGACTAGATGGCTCATGACATCTCTTCCAACTCTATGATTCTATTCTATGATTCGATGACTCTAATTTTGAGATTATATTAAAATTTAATGCAACCCACTGAAAGAATTTTCTCTGGTTACTTGAGTAATAAAGTTTCTGAGGCATTAGAAGAAGGTTCTCTTTTTTCCCAGCCTCAAGATAAATCTGTAAGGAAAGGAGTACATTTTTTTCTAATAGATATAACAAATATACACAATTTTTATAATCTGAATTATGCATAATATACACTTTATGCTATATATATGCACTCCACTGCTTACACGTCCATTCCATCCCTCTTCTCCCACCTACCCAAGTAATTAAGTGAACAAACAAGGTTACAAACACTCATGCAGTCCTTTCCTTGCACTTCCCTGTCCCATTCCCTTCCCCCATCTGCTTGCCTGCCTATGGATGGGCATGGGAATGTGTGTCTGGTTGCCATGCATCATCTCATAATCTGTTTTCCTCCCAGAAACCCTGATGTTATTGATGTCCCTGTTAAAAATTCCATAGAGCAATAGAGGTGGTAGCAAATGGTTTAATCCATGAACAATCAATTCTGCAAATGTTTAACCCACACATGTGGAGGGACAACTGCAGTGCTAAGTAATAGTAGCATCAATGTGTGAGAAAGAAATTCAGTCAGTCAAAACCTAGATAGCTGAAGAACTTTGTGTCAATCAGAAGGGTAAATACAAATGTTAAGTAGTTTTGATTAATGTGGAGAAAACTTCTATCAGAAAATTTATACTCCTGACAAGTCAGCAGTGCCAAAAACTGGAAGTCTTAAACACCGTTTGATGATGGTCATGTGTATAATTTAAATTATATACCATTTAAATAAAAAGTTGCAGTGAATAAATTGGGTCAAATAATAACAAATGCTTCTTGATCTAACAAACCATTCCTAGATTTGACCAAAAGCTCATAAAGTAACTACTTACTCCATAGGAGAAGGGAGCAAATTGACCCATACAGAAAAACATTGCAGGAACTTGGATACATGGTTGCACTGCTTTCATACTATTCCAACATTCTTGTGTTTTAATGTTCTCGTTTTGTTTTATTGTTACTTTCTGAAAACTGCCCTAAAGACCTATTTTAGGTTGAGGTATATTCTGTTTATGACAAAACAACAAATAGAAAAACCACAAACCAAGGCACCTGAAATGTCTCTGTGGTGAAAAATCAAATGTTACTGGAGATCATGATAGGAAAGTTAACATAGTAAGTGGGGTTTTGGTGGTATATTCTCATAACAAGGTTGTGTGATGGGAAACCTTTCTGTAAATGAAGCAATGAACCATAATTGGCTTATTAAAGCACAGTGAAAGCATCAAAAGAATGGTAATCCTAAAATTACTCCAGAAGCAAGAATTGCCCATCTTCAAACTGGCATCTGGTTTGCATTTCAGTCAGCAACCAAAATGTATGGATTATAATTTTGCTAATTGGAATAAAGTCAGTTATTATTTATAAAGCACTCCCCATGAGAGCGTCAGGCAGCAAGACATGAAACATTATTAAGCAACATAATATCATTCCTAGAACATTTCAAAAACAGTGCAAATGGAAAGAAGGTACCGTATATGAAATGGAGGTCTCTGGTCTTCCCTCCTTCCTCCAAAGGTTTTGTAAACTGCCCTAACTTGGTAGAAGGAGAGGGGAAGAACAGTGGAGCTTCAGAGACCTCTGTTTTATAATTTTTAAACTGCCTTGCCTTCAGATAAAGAAGGAAGGAAAAGATCAGTCCCAAATGGGGGTGAGACTATTATGTGAGGAAAAATAAAAAAAATATCAATAATGGCACCCAAAGAATCGGGGGTAAGACTATTATGCAGTGGAATTTGAGTCACTTCCTAGGCATGTCTCTCTGTGTGTGTGTGTGTATGTATGTGTGTATATATATCTCAATGGGTCAGAACAAACAGCTACATGGATGTTCTGTTTCATTTTCTTTCAGCCACAAAGATTTCCGGATCAATTCTACCATTCATTTATAGTGAAGGGGAAAAAATCTACTGGAGAAGCAACTGTCACATATGCTGTCCTACTGTTTTTGTAATAGGTGGGGTAGAAGGTGGGATAGGCAACACCATATTTCACAGCAAAAGTGAAATAAGATCACTATGGTCATCATTGAGGGCATATTTGGACTTTATATAAGGAATTTTCCAACCCATTTACTGTGTTCATGTACCCCACTTATATACCCTACCACTCTGCTAGGAAAACACGTCACTGTTCTGTCAATGCCATCTTTAAACTGCATCCCCACCAACATTTATGCCACTTCTGGGAGACATATGCATGCCAGCTACCTCCATTCACTACCCTGTGTGTAGTGAATTTTCACAAACTAGCTTTATTATAGGAATGAAAAGCATAGATTGAAATATTTTTTAAAAATAATTTGAAATGTATTTTTCAAGCATTGGGAATCCTTGATAAAGACATTCATAGACTGGTAAGAATCCACACAGTTTGGGATTTATTCTGTGCAAACTCTGAACAAGAGTGTTTTGCTCAGTTATAGCATTTTTCATATAGGAAACAAACCAAAATTTTAGCTTCTCTACAGAAAAAAAAATGCTTGTGTAAAAATACCATGTTCTGTGCACACAAAAAAGGAACATAAGTCCCCAAAGTACAGCATTTTCTGCAAAGTAAATATTAGTTTAAAAAATGCATCCCAATCTTTATTATAGCCAATTTAAACAGCAATATGAGAACTCCCATTCTCTGTTTCACTTTGTTTTAAACTTATGCATCATATAGCAGTTGTGTTGTGTGGAACTCTTGGATCCTAGATCTGATTGATGGGAAGAGACAAAAACAAGGCTGGGCATTTAACCAGTCAAAAGGGATTTGGTCAACTAACTGGTGAAGAAAATTTCCACCATTTATTTTTAATGTACTCACTGTACTAGAAAAGAAAACATTTTACTTGTCAACAGTAGTTAATTTGGGCTTTTAAATACATTTAAGAAGGAATGGTTTCATATTAAATCTGTAAAGAATTAATTAATTTTAATTTTTATAATACAATTGTTGCTGTGATTATATACTATTACATCAATGATAGTGGCTGTTTCTCATGAGCTATAGCAAATGTCTACTACTGGTCTGGCAGTGAAACAGCCTTTACTCCTGCCCTTGCCAAAAGATGACATCATAATGAAATTAGAGGTTTAAACTGTCATTAACACTGTGGCATTTTTAGCATCACAGAATATCTGACAGTGGCTGAACAGTTGGTCAGCTGATGACACTGGATTGATCATTTGATTGGTGTACTAATTCCAAAAATAAACAGGTAAACAGAACTTAATCCTGTAAATGAGAGATGACCATAAAGTTGGACAGTAATTTGGGTTGGAGTATATTCTAAGAGCACATTTTCCATAACAATATGTTTTTACATACCCAAAATAGAGCTTACAGAGTATCTTACCACTTACCCATTAGGAAAGTACTTAATCAAGACTGTTATCAATGCAATTAGTGTAGACAGGCAGTAGCGGAAGTATGGATTGCCCCCACACCTTAAGCAGAGATGAGTGATTGCAATCTGTATTTCCCAGAGTTTATCTAGTTCAACAACCTGGAAAACAAAACAAAGCATGAACCACTTAAGATAGAAGGAACTCTCCAATAACTATGCATTTAACAGGGACACTGGGTATACAATTATTTTATAAAGACAAGTGCCTAAAAGATAAGCTATTTGTACTTCAAGCTGTTTGGGGTTTGTACTTCAAAGTCTAATTTAAAGCTGTAAAGAGAAGTTTTGTGTGCTTTATTACTGAGTACCAGACTGGAGCACTGTATCTATAAGGGTCCACAGTTCAGGAATAGAACACATGATTTGCATGCATAAGACCCTACTTTCAATTCCCTATATCATTAATTAGAACATAAGATCTACAGTGCAGCAGCATTTAAGCTACACTGCGTTGTATAATAGGTGATGTTTCAAGCTGCTCTCTTTCAGGTCCCAGACAGTTCTTGTCAACAACCAGGCTCAAAGAGTTTCCACTACTGGATAAAAGGAGGATCAGAGATCCAGATGATCTTTTTAAAAGGGAATAAACCAAAGTTTATATCTTCACCTGGAAATAAATAATAAGCTTAAATGAGGCAGAGCAGACAGCTAGGTGCTCAAATAAGGACAGAAAGGAATTTGGAAGAAGAAAATGCAACTTCCTTTGTAACAGAAAGACACATGGACAAATTTCAGTGGCTATTAGTTCTGTAGGAGTGAGCATGGTGTAGTGCAGGGGTCCTCAAACTAAGGCCCGAGGGCCGGATATGGCCCTCCAAGGTCATTTACCCAGCCCTCACACAGGGTCAACCTAAGTCTGAAACGACTTGAAAGCACACAACAACAACAATCCTATCTCATCAGCCAAAAGCAGGCCCACATTTCCCATTGAAATACTAATAAGTTTATATTTGTTAAAATTGTTCCTCATTTTAATTATTGTATTGTTTTTAAGTGGGTTTTTTTTTTGCACTACGAATAAGATATGTGCAGTATGCATAGGAATTCATTCATAGTTTTTTTCAAATTATAATCTGGCCCTCCAATAGTTTGAGGGACTGTGACCTGGCCCTCTGTTTAAAAAGTTTGAAGACCCCTGGTTTGAAGGCTGGATTAGGGAAAATGTGTCAAACGAAGGGCCCCTTTGCAAAATCCGACCTGCCACATCATTTGATGTGGCCCATAAGGATTTTGTTGCCAGGCCAACACAGTTACATTCTTACAATCTTACAATTACAGGCAGTCCCAAGTTACAAATATCCAACTTAGAAACAACTCATAGGTAAGAAAATTGCTGAGGCAACGGAAAGTTAGAGAAATCTTTCCTAGGAAGGGAAATTCACTCTTGAAAGAGTTATCACAGAGAAAAGGGATGTCCACTTGAAGCTGTCTCATCAATTCTTGCTTCCACAACAAGCCACATTTTTCAAAATCTAATTATCACAGGGACTGAAAGTGAGATGAAATCTCCTGAACAGAGGCACAGACATCAAAACCAACACACAGGGGTGACCCTTTCCTGTACTACCAAAAGCTTATATATATAAGCTCTTTATAGACTAGAGTCACACTTGTACTGACTTACAAACAAATTCAACTTAAGAACAAACCTCCATCTTGTTTGTAACTTAGGGACTGTCTGTACAACCTGCCATAAGGCTGGTGTACCCCCCACTGAAAATGAGTTTTAATATCCCTGGGTCAGGATATTGGGGAGGTTCAAGTTCTGCTTAGCAATGGAATCACATTTGGTGACCTTGGGCAAATCACACTTTCAGCCTCAGAGGAAGGCAAGCCCGCTCTAAACAAGCTTTGCCAAGAAAAAAACATGATAGGTTCATTGAAGGTTTGTCATCAGTGACTTAATAGGCCCTTCCACACAGTCATATAACTTAGAATTTCCAGGCAGGAAATCCCACAATATCTGCTTTGAACTGCAATATACGGCAGTGTGGACTCAGATAATCCAGTTCGAAACAGGTATTTGTGGGATTTTCTGCCTTGATATTCTGGGTTATACGGCTGTGTGAAAGGGCCAAAATGTACAGGTGAGTGAGGGCAAGCACATGCTTGTCTACATACATTGACTTAAAACCCAAGCAACAACAAACAAACTTTGTTTCAAAATCATAAAGTCCAAACACATCCAAGAGGTCTCAGCCAGCCAAGCCTGTTACAGGTAGAGAACTAGAGGGCAAGAAAAGGGGAAGATATAATAATCTCTTTTTCTCAAATGATTGGAGGAATTGGGGGAGGGGGTGTTCTAGCAATCTTGTTCGACCAGACAACAACCTCATATCTACTTTGAATTCAACTAACACCACACATGGCTTGAAATCGTAATGCAGAGCAGCAAGCACTTCCCCAGGTTCCCGATGCTTTGCTTTTTGGATTTAATGATGATGGATCACTATTCCCAGAAGCTTTAGACATTGAGTGCTGGCAGAATTTCACACAAAAAGTATAAAGTATGTGTTGTCGAAGGCTTTCGTGGCCAGAATCACTGGATTGCTGTGAGCTTTCCAGGCTGTCTGGCCATGTTCCAGAAGCATTCTCTCCTGATGTTTTGCCCACATATATAGCAGGCATTCTCAGAGGTTGTGAGGCTTGTTGGAAGGTGATCAATTGCAGCATTCACACTTGCTTGAAACAGACAAGAGTTCTTCCTCCTACCCTGGACATTCCACAGATATACAAACGCCACTTGCCTAGTTTCCAACAGACCTCACAACCTCTGAGGATGCCTGCCATAGATGTGGGTGAAACGTCAGGAGAGAATTCTTCTGGAACAAGTCTCTGGCCACTTGCAAAACTGCCTCTGAGATCTGCCTAAACTTTGTGCAGGCACAAAATGATTTCAAAGGGAGAACACACCCCTTTAGAAATCAATAGTCAGACTTTAACTATTGAAAGAAACACAAGAAAATGAGCAAGATTGCTGTTAATGACAAGCGACTTAGGCCCTTCCCAGACAGCTATATAAAATCCACATTGAACTGGATTATCTGGCAGTGTGGACTCAGACAACCCAATTCAAAGCAGATATTGTGGGATTTTCTGCCTTGATATTCTGCGTTATGGTGCTGTGTGGAAGGACCCCCAAATAACGCAGTTCAAAGCAGATATTGTGAGTGATCTACCTTGATATTCTGGGTTATGGGGGTGTGGATGGGCCCTCAGCTAAACCAGTTCAAAGCAAATGTTGTGGGATCTCCTTCCTTGATATTCCGGGTTACATGGCTGTGTGGAAAGGCCCTCAGATAACTCAGGGTCCTTCCATAGGGCCACGGCCCTATATTCCAGAATATCACGGCAGAAAATCCCACCATTTCTGCTTTGAACAGGGTTATCTGATAACGTGGGATTTCCTGCCTTGATATTCTGGGAGATAGGGCTGTGTGGAAGGGCCCTCAGAAAACACAGATCAAAGCAGATATTGTGGATGATTGGTCTTGATATTCTGGGTTATATAGCTGTGTAGAAGGGCCCTTATTGTTGATGATGCGTGACTTCATAGCTTTCTTTGGCTTGGGGACAGGGCTGGCATCAAACTGGTCTCTCTTCAAAAAGCCTTAGGGTAATGGAAGCTGCTGGGATTGTGTGATTTTAGGTTTCTGATTAGTTTTTAAATGTAATTTTAATTGTATTTTAACTTTTACATTCTTGACACAAATACTTATTTAATGTTGAATTTTTGCATTCATATTTGCCTTCTTTTCAAATTCTATTGTGTTCTGTCATCTCACAGTTAGCCACCTCAACTCCCTATGGGGAAAAGGTGGGATAAAAACAAAGTAAATAAATAAATAGACTATCAAAGTCAGGGAACAAGAGGGAAAGGTAATATCACAATCATCACTTGACACTGAAAAAGTAATGATAATAATAATGCTTTTAATGTTGTTTTTAATTTAATGTATATCTATTGTTTAAAATTATTGTTATATTGTTGTATTTGTCTGTATGTCACGGCATCGAATTGTTGCCGAGTGTAAGCCACCCTGAGTTTCTCCCCCTCCCCTCCCAGGGGGGTTGAGAAGGATGGGGTAGAAATTCTGTAAATTCCCTTCAATTGTGGTGCCCAGAATTGGACACAATATTCCAGGTGTGGTCTAACCAAGGCAGAATAGAGCATGGGTAGCATTACTTCCCTAAATCTAGACCAGTGGTTCTCAACCTGGGGGGCGGGACCCTGAGGGGGGTCATGAGGGGGTGTCAGAGGGGTCGCCAAAGACCATCAGAAAGCACAGTATTTTCTGTTGGTCATGGGGGTCCTGAGTGGGAAGTCTGGCCCAATTCTATGGTTGGTGAGGTTCAGAATATTCTTTGATTGTAAGTGAACTGTACATCCCAGCAACTACAACTCTCAAATGTCAAAGTCTATTTTCCCCAAACTCTACTAGTGTTCACATTTGGGCATACTGAGTATTTGTGCCAAGTTTGGTCGAGATACATCATTGTTTGAGTCCACGGTGCTCTCCGGATGTAGGTGAACTACAACTACAAAACTCAAGGTCAATGCCCACCAAACCCTTCCAGTATTTTCTGTTGGTCGTAGGAGTTCTGTGTGCCAAGTTTGGTTCAATTCCATCATTGGTGGAGTTCAGAATGCTCTTTGATTGTAGGTGAACTATAAATCCCAGCAACTACAACTCCCAAATGACAAAATCATCCCCCAACCCCACCAGTATTAAAATTTGGGCATATTGGGTTTTTGTGCCAAATTGTTTTTTATTGATCTTGCTATGGTTTTATCTTATACTAGCTGTCCCTTGCCATGTGTTGCAGTGGCCCAGTCTGTTGATCTGGAAAATAAAGTAATGAGAAAGTGTTGGTTTCTAATATATGTAATTTCTTTATGCTTCTGGGTAAACAGTATTTCTTGTTGTTTCTTGTCAGTGTTGATGTGGAGATTGTCTGGTTTGCCCACCCTGGAACATGCAAGATATTGTCCTTCTTTAAGAGTCCCTTTCAAATCTATGATACTATATCTCTCTCTGTGTGTGAATCATATCATCTATCTATCTATCTATCTATCTATCTATCTATCTATCTATCTATCTATCTATCTATGGCTGGATGGCTCTTTGTCAGGAGGACTTTGATTACGTTTTCTTGCCCTGATGAAGGGAGTTGGATTGGATGGCCTTAAGTATTTTCTGTTGGTCATGGGGGTTCTGTGTGGGAAGTTTGCCCTGATTCTGTTGTTCATGGGGTTCAGAATGCTCTTTGATTGTAGGTGAACTGTGAATCGCAGTGACTACAACTCCCAAATGTCAAGGTCTATTTTCCCCAAACTCCATCTGTGTTCATATTTGGGCATATGGAATATTCGTGCCAAGTTTGGTCCAGATCCATCATTGTTTGAGTCCACAGTGCTCTCTGGATGTAGGTGAACTACAACTCCCAAACTCAAGGTCAATGCCAGTATTTTCTGTTGGTCATGGGAGTTCTGTGTGCCAAGTTTGGTTCAATTCCATTGTTGATGGAGTTCAGAATGCTCTTTGATTGTAGGTGAACTATAAATCCCAGCAACTACAACTCCCAAATGACAAAATCATATTTTTGAGTGATGGTCACTCCTTGTGTTGTGAGACGTTTTGTTGCCAAATTTGGTGTGATTTCGTTCATTGGTTCTTTTGTTTTTAAGGTACTAATTATGCACAGAGCATTTATATATATATAGATTCATATTATGATACATAACAGTTGCAAAATTACAGTTATGCAGTAGCAATGGAAATAATTTTATGGTTGGGGGTCAACACAACATGAGGAACTGTATTAAGGGGTCGTGGCATTAGGAAGGTTGAGAACCACTGATCTAGACACTATGCTCCTATTGATGCAGGCCAAAATCCCATTGGCTTTTTTGCCGCCACATCACATTGTTGGCTCATGTTTAACTTGTTGTCCACGAGGACCCAAGATCTTTTTCACACGTACTGCTCTCGAGCCAGGCATCGTCCCCCATTCTGTATCTTTGCATCAAGGCAGAAAATCCCACAATATCTGCTTTAAACTAGGTTATCTGAATCCACACTCGGATAATGTGGGATTTTCTGCCTTGATGTTCTGGGATATAGGACTGTGTGGAAGGGCCCTTAGAAAAACCCAAAGGTAGACAGACCCATGGCTATTTGAAGCAATGAGGTCCAGGAAGTGTCCTGCTCTGAACGCTCATGATGACACCCCACTGAGTGACCTTGGGCGAGTCGCGCTCTCTCAGCCTCAGAGAAAGAAGGCGAGGGCCAGCGCCTCCTCTTGCCTCGACTCACTGAGGAGGCACGCGCTGCTCTGGGGCCCGCAGGCAGCACGAGGGGGGGGGGCTCGCTCTCCCTCAGGCAAACCTTGCCCTGCGCTGACGGAAGGGGGCTGCGTCGCCCTCGGCGTTCGCGGAGTCCCACTTCTCCTTCTGCCACCGCCCCTTTCCCCACTGCAACGTACCCCTCGCCTCAAAGGGGGACGCAACACCACCAGCCTCCGCCCCAAGCAGGAGAGCCCCACTCACCCGAGCCCCGCTTCGCTTCTCCGCCGCAGCAGCAGCAGCAGCCCGCTTCTCCTTCTCCTCCGCCGCCTCCTCCTCGCGCGCCCTGCATCTGCTCGCGCGCGCGCACCTTCTTCACACGCGCGCGCCCTCCCTCTTTGCCTCGCGCCCTCTTCTTCAGCGCTGGCGCGAGCTTTAAAAACCCGCGGAGGGCAAGGCGAGAAAGCGCTTGCTTTGCAGCTGCCTGCATACAACCGCTTGGACCGATATTCATCAGTTTGTTCGTTGCCACGGCCAGAGGTCTGCCTGCCACCCTTCCTCAAAAGCCTTTTCCGCTATGAATGAATGAGACTTTGGGTTGTTGTAGGTTTTTCGGGCTGTATGGCCATGTTCTAGAAGCATTCTCTCCTGACGTTTCGCCTGCATCTATGGCAAGCACCCTCAGAGGTTGTGAGGTCTGTTAGAACTAGGTAAATTGGGTTTATATATCTGTGGAATGACCTGGGTGGGACAAAGAACTCTTGTCTGATGGAGCTAGGTGTGACTGTTGTAGTTGGCCATGTTCTAGAAGCATTCTCTCCTGACGTTTCGCCTACGTCTATGGCAAACATCCTCAGAGGTTGTGCGGTCAGTTGGAAACTAGACAAGTGGGGTTTTTATATATATATGGAATGTCCAGGATGGGAAAAAGAACTCTTGTCCGCTGGAGGCAAGTGTGAATGTTGCAGTTGGCCAGTTTGATTAGCATTGAATAACCTTGCAGCTTCAAAACTTAGCTGGTTGCTGCCCAGGGGAATCCTTTGTTGGCCCTGATTGAGTCCTGTCTGAAATTCCTTTGTTTTTTCAGTGTTGCTCTTTCTTTACTATCCTGATTTTTAATACTGGGAGCCAGATTTTCTTCAGTTTTTTTTTATTTTTTTAATTTATTTACGACACTTATATGCCGCCCTTCTCACCCCAAAGGGGACTCAGAGCGGCTTATAAGGAAAAAGTAAATACAATATATTATATTATTATCATAGAATCATAGAATGAGGGGTGAGAAGGGCGGCATATAAATGTCGCAAATAAATAAAATAAAACAAGCATCCATACTAGGGGGTGTGCAAATCTTCATTTTTAAATTGTAAGTTGTATGTAATTCACAAGTTTTGTACATATAAATATATTTATAATAAACATAAATTAATAAATAAATAAATAATAAATAATTAATAAACATATTAATAAACATGGAGGGAAGGGGGAATCTTAAGAATCAAAACTCACCCAATATTTTTCATTTGAAATCCACAATCCTCAGAAGTCAGTTTAATTTTCAGTGCAAGCAAGGCAAAGCCAAAAAGGCTGCCTTTCCTCTTTAAATTAAGAAGAGATGGGCTGCCTCTTGCCCTGAGGAGAGGAAAGCAGCAGGGCAAAATGAGCTAAGTGAGCTGGGAAAGACAGAGAGCACAGAATTCTGGGAAATGTAGTTTGGGAAGGCGAGGAGACCTATGGCAGAGAATTCAAAAGGCTCTGTCCTAAACTACATTTCCCAGAATTCTGCTCAGCATCAGAAAGCCCCCAATGAGGAAAAGGGAAAGCTATTTTCCCTCAGTAGCAATAGCCAGCCAGCCCCGCAGTTTCCAATTCTGCAAAGAGGACTGACTGATACTTCAATACTAGTAAGTAAATCTGTGCTGGGCTAGGAAGAAATCCCTACATGGAAATTCTGTTGTTTAAAGACATTCAATGAGATAGCTGTTGTGGGTTTAAAAAAATTGTCAAACCTTTTGAAAAATCCCAAAAATCGGTAGATGTATGAATACTTCTGAAACGTGTGGGAGGGATAATCTCTTGTTATCTTGTATCATTGTATGGATAATTCAATGAGATAGCTATTGAAGTTTTTTTTATGTAGTTTGTAAAAACTTTGAAAATTTCCCAGAATTCTGTGGATGAGTGAAACATTCTGTAACTTGATGGGCTAACAGTGGTAAATGTGTTCTATAATCATACCAAGTTTCATGCCAATAGTTCTAATAATGAGAGAGATAGGAGCCTCTGAAGTTTCCACATTGCCATAGTTTCTTAACAAAAAGTAATGAAAAAGTAATTAACTTGTTATAGTTGGGATACAGAACCCATCCAATTTCATAAGCACTTTAAAAACAATTTTACCCCATTCTTTAATATAATACTGAGTATTTAAACATTTTTTTTCATTGATCACACAGGGTTAATCCATACATATATGCCATACATATCTGACAACAATCTACAAGAAAACCTCTTTCATTCCTAGCTTCTAAAAAGCTCTCAAAACATCATCAGGCTAAGATACCGAAAAGAACTGTTTTGTTAGTGGACAATAGTTAACCAGGCAGATTCTCCTGTATTAAGGGCCCCTTTTCTTATGCCTGTCTTGTGCTACTTTGTAGGGAAAGAGTCTGGAACTTGACAGTGTCAAATATTTTGGGGATGAGAATCACCAAAGACAGAATGTTTTCGTCAGATGCTCTTCAGTTATGTCCAAAGTGACTCTGCATCACTAGACCAGTCCCGGGGCCCTTTCACATGATACTATTATATCACTATCATTCCGCTTGAGTTGCCATAGCTGCATCCTGTGATTTGTTATTTGGTGAGACACTAGAAGAGCTCCTAGATGAGAATACCAAATGTCATTCCATAAACTACAAATGGATCTTTGTGTTTGATGTTATTGCATTGGGAGATGTTCATATCATGGAGTTAAATCTCAGTAATCTGTCTTCCAATACTTCCCCCAATGCTTCCCTCACCTTGTCAGCAGCACATCCTTCAACATGGCCATTTCTGTCTGAGAACAGGAAGATGGATGGGGATGCATCCAGCTATTTTCCACAGGCATCTGCAGAGACTACCATAAGCCATTGGAAGCACTCTGTAGATGACCGCCTTGCATTATGGCCAACTACTGGAAACTAGTTGGTCCCTTCTTATTCTCCGTCTTTCCAACAACATAGAAATGTGCATGTTAGGGAGGATATATTGTTTGGGAGGATGATGGAGGCAGGTTGGTTGTTGCATGACTGGAGCAAAATTATGTTCTATAACAAGGAGCTCTATAAATCCGACTTAGCACTCTCTCTCTCTCTCTATATATATATATATATATATGGGCCATGGTGGCACAATGAGTTAAATAGTTGAATTGCTGAACGGAATATCGGCAGCTTGTATCCATGGGATGGGTGAGCTCCCACTGTTAGCTCCAGCTCCTGCCAACCTAGCAGTTCTAAAACATGCAAATGTGAGAAGATCAATAAGTACCACCTCAGCAGGAAGGTAAATGGTGCTCCATGCAGCCATGCCGGCCACATGACCTAGCAGGTGTCTATGGACAACACAGGCTCTTTGGCTTAGAAATGGAGATGAGCATCACTGCCTAGAACTAGAGAGGAAGGGGAAGCCTTTACCTTTATCTGTGTATTTGTGTTATATTGTTTGTAAGCATTGAATGTTTGCCTTGTGTCTGTATATGCTGAAATCCACCCTGAGTCCCCTTGGGGAGAAAGGGCAGAATACAAATAAAATTATTATTATATCTACCTACAAATGAAAATATGTGTGTTTGTTCCACCAAAGCCCCTGTGTGCCTTGATGGATCTGGACCAAACTTGGTGCTCATACCCTTCATTATCCAACTTAGAATACTGGTGGGTATTTAACTAAAAATTCATCTCTTTCAAGTTTAGGGCTCCAAAAATGAATAAATTTCTATCTATGTATGTAGCACTCAGGTTCAACCACAAGAGGACAGTATATAGACAGAAAGGCTACCTCTGAGGGAGAGATGACAAATGGAAGTGAGCTTGACAAAGGAGTTCTTAAGATGGCAAAACCTGAGAAATTCTTCAGTTGTTAGCAGAATCCTATATTCAGAAAATGCATACCTGAGCAATGTTGGGGATATACACTAATGCCATAATAATTAATTAACAGGATTCTAATAAATGTTATTGAAATTTGGTTAGTAACCTAATACTGTGCAAATGCCAGAGTACTGTAATCTTTAGAACCAGCTCTCCATTTTGCTCCTCCCCAGGAAAGGGGACATCTAAAAATCCAAGTTGTACTTGGGAAGCAAGAGCAGTAAATGAAGCCTTGTTGCCTGGTACTTAAAACTAGTGGTGGAAATCAAGTGCTCTGTACCGCACAGGGCAGGATATAGGAAGAGGGTCCTGTGCCAAAAGCCAATGTTTTCTGACCTAGCCTGTGGGTGTAATGAAAGCCCAAGTCTTAGATACTGAGTAAAGATGAAGATCCACCCAGAGGAAAAGTGTTCCTGCCATACATCAAGGGAACCACTGATCGCATAGGGAAGCTGATGAGGAAACACAACATACAAACAATCTACAAACCCACCAAGAACAATCCAACAAATGCTACGTTCAGCAAAGGACAAGAGGGATCCTCTCACCTCTGCAGGAGTCTACCGTATACCATGCAGCTGTGGACAGTCTACATAGGGACCACCAAACGCAGCGCCCAGACACGCATCAAGGAACATGAAAGGCACTGCAGACTACTTCAACCAGAGAAGTCAGCCATAGCAGAGCACCTGATGAACCAGCCTGGACACAGCATATTATTTGAGAACACAGAAATGCTGGACCACACCAACCACCACCATGTCAGACTACACAGAGAAGCCATTGAAATCCACAAGCATGTGGACAATTTCAACAGAAAGGAAGAGACCATGAAAATGAACAAAATCTGGCTACCAGTATTAAAAAAAACTCTAAAATTATAACAGCTAAACAACAGAGAGGAAAAAACCAGGCACAGATTAACACCTCCCAGCAACAGATTTTCCCAGGCTCAGGCAGGCCTTCAAATGCTAATGAAGGTGATCAGCTAAACATTCACACCTAACTGCAGCAGGGAAGAGCTCCTTGCCCCACCCCAGCCATTCCACAGATATATAAACCCATTTTCCTACTTCCAACAGACCTCACAACCTCTGAGGATGCTTGCCATAGATGCAGGCGAAACGCCAGGAGAAATGCCTCTAGAACATGGCTCTATAGCCCGAAAAAACCCACAAGAACCTACTGAGAAATCGTTTATTCCAATTATATGTGACAGCATGCGTGTGCTT